CTAGTTAATATGTAATTGGACTCTTATCAAAAAGAATTAAATTTTAAATTGAGCTGAAAGTGATTCCCTTTACCATTGTAAGGGATCACTTTACCATATCATTACTTTACAATAGCATCAGATATGATATTGTAATAACCAATATTATATCTGATTGAATACCTACTTTGTGAATTGCTGATCCCACCTTAACTTTGTGTGTGGTTGGAGGGTAGAAGGATAGAAAGAAAGCAAATTCTTTTTATTTTTTTGCTCCTAGGGGAAAGTAAATTCTCAGCCCTATCTTTCATATTTTTTCTTTTTGTATCTGTCTTCCCTGACACCTGGACTGCTTCCAGTCTGGTGAGTGAGGTGCCAGGTGGAAGGGCCCGCCATGCTTTCACATTGAACTTGGTTGGCATTTCAGCCAGGGAATGCAGCCCAGACAGCAGACGATGGGAGGGAGCCCTCTGACCTGGCCTTCACTCCTGCTCCCTTTCTTTATCTCAGGCAGAAGCATAAGCTGGGTATTACACAATGATCATATTTATTAAGCTAAAAGAACACAATCAACAAGATGAGGGAGAGGAAGCCTTCTTCCATTTTATCTCATTTATAGTGAGTCTGGATGGTAGCAAAGTCACGCATAGGGTGTTCCCAAAGCCAATAATTCCTGGCACATCCACTCTACAGTATCAGTGTTGACAAAATTTGTGTGTGAGTGTATAATTTTTTTTGTGTGTGTGTATGTACATATACATGTATAAGTTTATTTTACTCATTACCATGGTTCCTGACATTTTATGAATCTATAACTTATTTTAAAATTTGATGAGAGGTATAGATCTTCTCCCTAGAAAGATATGCATATGTATATCTTATGAAAATTTGGAAGTTTTTTTCTGAAAACCCATTCATGCCTCAAATGATAACCCTTTGATAGGCTCAAAGGCTACATTTTCAAAGATATTAAAAAATTACATGTTGTTAATGTTTTTCTCACTTTATATATTATGTAATATGATTTTTTCCTTTTAAATTGAGAACCTGAACAATTATGTTACTTCCTCATCTACAACTTAATGCAGAGTGCAGATTTCCTGACCTGCAGGGTGAGGTGGAACATGCCTATCTGGGAGGCTGAGGCAGGAGGATCATGAGTTCAAAGCCAGCCTCAGCAAAAGCGATACAGTAAGTAACTCACTAAGATCCTGTCTCTAAATAAAATACAAGAAAGGGATGGGGGGATGTGGCTCAGTGGTTGAGTGTCCCTGAGTTCAACTCCTGGTGCCTCCCCCCCCCCCCCTACAAAAAAAAAAATTCCTGACCTAATTCATGTCCTTGTAAGGGAATCAGCAATTTCTACTAAAGAGAGAATATAGACTTAATCATGAGATGCCCAAGATACTGATTTGAGAGCAGGGGAGTTGGACAGCAGAACCACGTTCAGCTGGAGGCCACAGAGACATTCCATTTTCAGTTACTCTGGAATTGCAAGTTTTAATCCCAGAAAGTAACCAGCTGATGCTGCCTCTAATGTCTTCTTTCATTTCAGCTGTTCAAAATATTACCCATACTTGAAGGCCTTCCTTCATCATCCCCTCTCAAAAAAAGAAAACACTTGCAGAATCAATTTCCCTCTCCATTCTGTCTTTCCATCACATCTGTTTGTAACTACATAATTTACTTAGCAAAATAGTTAACCCTCTCATCTTCCTCCCTAGAAGGAGGATCAGGAGGAGGGCTCTTTGTGTCTTGTACACAGTAGGCCAACAGTATGAGTTGCAGAGGTGGCTCTGGAAACAAAAGTTTGCGTTCTAATCCCAGTTCTGCCATTAATTAGCTGTTTATTTTTAGGAAAAATACTTAAATTTCAAGTATCACTTTTTTTTTAGGAGATAGATATGATACTAGCATGCATTTCACTGAGCTATTGTAAAGATTATGTATTATAATACATAAAAAAGTACTTAGTATAGTGTTTGGATTATAGTAAGTGTTGCACAAATATTAGTTATATAATTTGTTGGCAGAATTTTTTTATTATTTGTTTTTTGTGTCATCATTTTTAAATTATTTTTTGATTGACACATAATAGACATTTATGGAGTACAATGTGATGTTTTGATACACGTATCTATCCATAGTGTAATGATGAAATCAAGGTGATTAGCATATTTATTACCTTAAATCTTTATCATTTTTTATGGTGAGTACATTCAAAATCCTCTTTTCTAGCTATTTTGAGATACACAATCTGTTATTATTATGGTATTTACCCTACTATGCAAAAGAACATTAGACCTTTTTCCCCCTGTTACTTTATCTGTTGATCAAATTTCCCCATCCATTCTGCCCCTACTGTCCCCAAACTCTGTTAATCACTATTCTATTCTCAACTTCTATGGGATCAACTTTTTAGAACCCTTATATAAGTAAGACTATGCAGTATTTGTCTTTCTGAACAGTTTGTTGTTGTTGTTGTTGAAAAAGGGTCTTGCTGTGTTGCACAGGCTGGTCTTGAACTTGTGATCCTCCTGCCTTTGCCTTCTTAGTAGCTAGGATTATAGGCACGTGCCACTGTGCCCAGCTTGAACAGATTTTTAAAAAATTAAATTAAATAAATTTTTATTGATACTTAAAAACATAAAAATTGAACATATTGATGGGTACCATTTGATGTCTCATGAACAAAAATTTTTAGAAGGAATTATCTTTAACTTTTTGGAATGGTAAATAATAAAAAATAAAGGTGTCATAATTTTTTTGGATGAAATTGAAATCTCAGTATTTTCAGGTTCTTTTAAATAATTTTTGTATTTAATCTATTAGTCTCAACCTAGTTTCAGCTTTTATAACAACCAGCTCTGGGATACTAGAAGTGTCTTTATGGCTTGCCTCTAACACTGTCCCTAACACTGAAAGACAGGGGTCTTTAGTCTCCAAGAGATTCTAAGATGAATTGAGCAGGTGACTGATAGAGAAAGTATCTTGAATATGGTTTTTGAGACCTCTACTCCAATTTCTCCCTCACCATTATCTTTCCTAACAGGGACCAGGCCAGATAGCTCACATGGATAAATTCACTTCTGCAAACAATAATGGCTCACTTATGGTATTGAGTTACTCACTTAAAGAACAGCACAGGTATTTACTCTTCAACAAGTTAAAAAATTGTTTTTATTTATATATGTACCTTTACCTAACTCCTCAAACTCCTTTCAAACTAATGTTATGTTTCCTTGGATTTTGCTCATTTTGAGCATGTGAGTTGGAATAAATGTTAAAGGGCAAAGATTTTGTTTCATTTGGCTTTGTATTCCTAGTGTATGTATACAACAGATAGTTGCTGATTAAAACTAGATAATACTACATGTTGCATTGAAAAAATTACAGAGTTTGGTTGTACTAGATGGCTTATTTTTAATAAAGAGATTGAAATAAAAATTATCTGAACTTCAAAAGTTTGAGTTAGAAATATATTTTCTGAGAAAATCTTTAGTATCAGAGTCAGATAGATTGGAGTATCATCTCTTTCTATCTTTTTTTGGTATTCAGTTTTGTTAATTATCAGTGAGGACCTAATTTTGCACTATTAATAAAATTCTACATTTATTTTCTTGTTTTTATGTCTTTAACATCTGTCATATTTCTTTCTGACATCCTGTCTAAATGAGAATTCATTCTGTGTTTTTAAAAATACTGCATGTGAAAGCACAGCTTTGTAACTCCTATTTTTTTACGTCAATAGCAGTGAATATTCTCTTAAATTTCACTGATATGATATACTTGATAATGAGAAATTAGAATTATGAAAGTACATACATGATATGGGAAGCGATCAAGCATCAGAATTTGTTGATTGATTTTTCTTGTCTAGTAACAGGCATTTGAAAAAGTCAATGTTGACAGGAATGGAAAATCTGCATGTGGGTTCTCAGGATAGTTGTTCATTTTTTTCTCCATAGTCAAATGTCTGTTTTCTTAAGCAATAAATTTAGCTTCTGAGAAAAATTAGTTTTAGTTTTGTATTTCTCTTTGTTTAACTTTCAGCTCATCATGGAAGGCTTTCTTAGTCCTACCATTCTGCTCCTGGACCTGGCCATGTCAATCCCAGTGCCAGGTGCTGGCCGACAGCTCAAGGGGGCCCAGCATTGAAGGACATGCCAGGTGGACCCTAAACCTTGGAATGCCAGTTCCTACTTTTGCCCAAAGCCAATCAACTGGATGAAGAGTGACTTTTCTCTCTGTTACAATAGTGTTTCATTGGAAATACATGCATCCTTAAGCTGCAGAATTTTGTTTAATATAGCTGTTCTATGAAGATCTGTCAGCACTCAATTTTTTTTTCAACACTCAGTATTTTTCCCCCAAAGATCTACTAACATTGAGATAAATGACCCAGTAATATGAAATGATTTTGCTAATGACAATTGAAGATATCAGAAGAACCACACTGAAAACTTTGAGAGTAATTCAATTCTGATATAGGATTTAATATCTGATACGATATCATAGGTAAATATTCTTAAGCCAGTCAGTTCATGCTGTGGAACTGTTTTATAACAACAAAGTCTATCTTTTGTCTTTGGTAACAAATCTTTGACTAGAGGTCAATAAAGTTCAGAAATGGTTCTAGAGACTCAAGTTCAAATTGGGATTATACCTAGGAGATAACTATGGAAGCCCTGTAAGATCTGGCTTCAGCTGTTCATTCTGAACAAGGCAGCCTCCATAGGTGCAGATATACTCGGACCATGATAAATTAGGTTCAGGGATCCTGTTCAGCTTAAGACAATCAGTTTGGAACAAACTGAATTCCTTGACTATCTTTGTAAATCAATTTAATCTCCCTTGGGGTATATATTGGACCTATTTCAAACTAATGTTCTTTGGATGTGGTCTCCATCCCTGAGACTGGCCTTGAATGAAGGCTGTCTCCAAGGGTAAGATTCAGCCTCATTCCCTGGGCCCAAGGCTATTGATCATACTGTGTCTGGCTCCACACTGGGCTCACTTACCTGATACAGGTTGGCAAGATGGTGGTTAGTTTTGATCAAAAATGGCTGGTTCACCCCTGGGTGGTCAACATCATGTGCTGCTGCAGCAAGTAGTCCAAGCATGATGTCCAGAGGTGTGAGGAAGCTGGCCAACTGTTAAAAAGTCAAATTTGGAGACTGACTATTATGCTTGCACAAATAGGGTGGCATTGTTTTTGGATAAATCAAACAGAATGAATCAGTCTTATCAGCCAGATCTTTATCCTGTGAGGTATTTAATGAGATGACATGCACCTGAAATTGCAGGGAAAAAAAGGGCTACGTGGACAATAATTGAGGAAGCTCAAATTGTGCAGAGCATTCAGGTATTCTCTTTTTGCTTCTACCACTGTGTTTTGTTTTGCTTCTGTAATGGCTTGGCTTATTGGCAGCATTGCTACCTGGTGGGCAGGGAGGAGGCAAGGAAGAGACTAAAATGAGCCTTGCTCCTAGAGAAAGCAGTAAATGAAGGAAATAGTTGAAGACAAGATGATGGACACCCTAAAAGAATCATTTGTATATTTCAAGTAATATATCTTTACCATTTGTTTGAAAGAAATTGGCTGAATTGCCAAATTTGCATGCTTCTTATTTGTGCAACACAGAGGGGAGGGATATGTGAGAGTCTTTAGTTTTTTTGTTTAGCTAGAAAAATAAGAAGGAGAATGGGAATCCAGTACTTAAAAAAATGCAACTGTATGATTTATTACAACTTTTAAATTTCTTACAGATTAAAAAGTGAAATCATTAATGTCTTTGGGATATTTTACAGGTGTGAGGCATTTACCCAGCTTTATCCCAAGAATGCTTATTTGGTATCTGCATATTTAGTGGTTGACGTTAAAGCACATGTATATTTAGTGGCTTGTTGAAAGTGATTGAACTAAACCGTTAGACTGAAATATCATTTTCCAAAAACATCAAGAAAGTTCATCTTATACATTTTATCAAAAAACTAAATTTTACATAGTGATGCATTATCTAGATTTTTGGTAATGAACATTATTATAATGCTTTCAATTTTTAACTTTTCATTGGTTTATTGCATCACAGCATGCTTGCTGAGAGGTCTTTGGTGTTCACAGGTTTTCTTGGGCCCTGAATTCAGGATATCTAGTTGGCTCATTAACAAATGAAAGGAAACTTCAGAAAATTTAATTCCTTTTCATGAATATTAAAAGATTTCAAAGTTGATACCTTGACTTCATTGTATTCATATTGTGAATGACTCCTAACCTAGCTGTTCAGAAATGCTGGGTAATTTAGAGTTTGGGTAGTTTATTTGGCATTCCAGATGGCTGAAGGGGCAGCTGGGACTTGCTTTACCTTTGGCTCTTTCAGGTAGCAGTGCATGGCCTGGGTGACATCAGCTGCATGAACAGCATTGTGATACGGGTTTTGGCCGTGGTAATCCTCTTGAACCATGACTAGGAGGTAAACAGATAACTCAGTCAGCTAAAATCAAAACAAGAATGGCTTCCTCCATCAGAATTATTAAAGGTGCTTTTTGCTTAAAAATATCAGTGCCTCCAAAATGTGTAGTGTGGGGATCCTTTGAAAATGAACGTGGTTTGCAAGCCTGGCAGTTCTACTGAGTTGTTTATAGTGTAGAGGAGGGGGGAAATAGGATTTGCGAGGCCCTTGGGATTTCTCACCTCCTTCATAAATCACCCCTTTCTGGCATTCATGAAGGCTCTCATTCATAGGAAAAATAAATATGTAGGAAAAGGACAACTTTCTTTCACACCATAGTTTATTTAAGTTTGCTGCCCTTTATGAATAATATGCCATAAATGGAGCTTCCTTTCAGAGCCCTGGTAGCATTGGACTTCCTAATATCTAACAATTGTGTTACCGCTTGAATAACAAATACAGACCAAGCAAATTGGGGGCTTCTTCATGTAGAAATTCAAAGTACTGCATTGATTCAATACCTCCTTGGAGATATTTCTCCCTTATTCAAGGAAGCTATCCTCTTCCATGCCCTCCAATCTAATGCCAGGCTTAGAATGCTCTGGAACCAAATCAAATAATAGACAAGGCAATTTTAATTTGTTGTTACAGAAGCCATTAGTCTGCTGCATCTGATAACCAAAGTGATTCTTAAGATGAAATGCAGTCAGAATGTATATACTTTCCAGATTTGCAAAGCATTCTGGTATTAATTTCTGGTATTAATTCTGTGCATTCTGGTATTAATTTGGTTGTCAAAACTTTTATTTATTTATTTATTTTTGTACATGTTCTGGGCACATAAATATATCTAAAGAATCTGTATCTCCCTTTTTAGATAGATTAAAATTATTTGGCTCCATTCATGCCCACTACTTTGCTCAATCAATTTAAAATACAACCAGTCAGAGGTTATTTATATTTCTGGAAAGGAGCTATTTTGTGGCTTATTTCAAATATTTCTGTTATACCTCATATACCTTTTATTCATCGGGGTTGTTTATAATCATATTTAAACCATGGTGCCATCACTTATTATCTATAGAGGGCACATTACTTGACCACAATTTCCTCCTCTATAGAATGGGGATAATAATAGCTCTGAGCTCAAGGTGTTGCTGTAAGAGTCAATGTGTTAATACAGCAGGTCCTTGGAAGAGGTCTCAGAAGATGGAAGCACCTTGGAAGGCTGGCTGTTGAGGCTGCCATTATTTTACTCTAGATGGCATTTAGTCAGCTTCCAAACTCAACATGCAACCATGTGACAAGTCAAAGCCAGAAACACATGAAGTGTGTTTCAGAGGAAAGCCATCTGTGATTAGAAATCTGCCCTGGATAATTCACTGACCGATAAATAAGAATATGTACAAAGTGAGGCTGCTTTTTGGTAAAGGTGGTGGCAGGGTTGAGTGGACGTATGAAGGGCTTTCAAGTTGGATGGACTTAGAAGTCAACTGATCTTCCACTTTCTAGCCATTGGCCTTGGGAAAGAAATAAATCTCACTGTACATCTTCTTAACCATGAACCAAATAGGGTCAGTAATGAAAAATAATTTCTAACTATTGCATTTGTTCAAATGGCTAGAGGCAATTACCTAACAATTAATTACCTAACAAATAATTACCCATAGTGGGCGCTACATAAATAGTCATAATTTTTTTAAAGCCTTTTTAAAATTGTCAGCAACTCATCTTCTGATTAGAATTTTTTGTGGTATACACGACAGGGGTTTTGATAACACATGAGCAGATTAAAATCATCTTTGACAGCTATATGTTTTTCATGGTTTTCTTTGCAGATTCTTAATCTCTAGTAAATGTAACTAACGAGGTAAACAATTTCTCAATGACTTGAGATGGGTAAACTATATTTAAAATAAAGATTATTTAAGATAAATTTGAGGCCTTTATTCACAGTGTTGTGGTTCTTACCACTTTATATTACAGTATTATGCACTGTCATTATTCATGGGAATGGGAGGTAGGAATGTGGAAAGAATAGACTTACCTAAAAACCTGTGTAAAGTCACCATGTCCAACTTGAAATGGTGAATGAGTCCATGGGTGTTGAAGAGGTGGCACAGCAGTGTTACCAGGCTGTTTCCTAGAGAACAGTCACCTGCTTTTAACTTATTTTTATCACTACTACATGCCAAAATTGATCCTAAGATCCAAGGTCTATATAATCATGTTTCTTTGTTAGAATCATTTTGCCCCTTTGGATTTGAAATTATTCAAGTATATTAGATATTATCACTGTGATTTGGTCCTAGGTTTTCTCTTATTATACAAATAAAATTTAGCTCAGACCTTCCCCCCTTATACCAAAGACAATGAAAATATTAAAAGAAGGACTATGCCTAATGAAGTGTGGGGTACATACACATGTGTGTGTATCTTTTTAAAAACACAGTTGGTGGCCACTTGAAGTGTGCCTGAAGTCACTTCTAATTGATGCTTACATTCACAGAGGAATCTAAACCATCAAAATGCTTAGCAGTCACAGCTTATTCTTCCTACGGAACATCACCCCAGAGGGATTTGGCTATATTTTAGAACTCAAGCCAGCATAGATGCAAAATTGAACCTATAATAACATAAACATTCAAGAAATACTGCTTAATAATAATGATTTTGAACTTTAAAAGCATTAGTTTATTTAAGAATTTGAAATGGACGAAGAAGATGCCTGCTTATCTTAAATGGAAAATTAGGTGTTGCCTAAGCCCCTCTTCCAGGGTACCCCATTCAATGGGTCTCTGCAAATTTTATTGTCTTTCAGTTATTTCAAAACTCTCACGTTAGAGATAATTGATAGCATTGCAACTGTTTCTTGTTCATAAATTTACAAATGAAATTAGTCCTGTCAAAACTGATTTTCTCCTCCCAAACTCCCCCACGCCAGTTATTTGTAAATTATTTTCAGCATTTCTCATTACATTTATGTCTGTAGTTCTCTGAAATCAATCTCTCTCTCCCTCTCCCTCTCCCTCTCCCCCTCCCTCCCTCCCTCCCCCCGCCCCCCCCCCCTCTCGATGGGGGTCTCTCTATGTTGCTCACACTGATGGGGGGAGGATTCTCTATGTTGTGTCCAGGCTGGTCTCAAACACCTAGGCTCAAAGGATCCTGCCTCAGCCTCCCAAGTATCTGGGACTACAGGTGTGCATCATCGTGCCCAGCTGAAGTCTCCTTTTGAATTAGTTGTAACATCTTACTGGATCTCTTAATTAGTTGAGTAAAATAAAACCTTTGACGTGCATTCATTTTCTATTTCTATGGCAGTCTTGATTATATTCTTTTAAACAAATTCCATTTTAAAAAGTTCCTTTTATTCACAGTTAATTTAATTTTCTAGTATCCATTTTCAGTTGATTTGAGCAAAGTGACAATGCTAGATTGTAGGAAGCATCCCTATACGGTCTATTCCCTTTCCACAATGCAAGGGTCTGTTTCATGACCTTAGGCTACATCTCTCTTGGTTACACAGTGTTTTCTAAATAATAAAATACTGAGAAAACTATCTGCAATGACTTCAAGCCCAAGTTTGGTAGATGATAGGACATAGCAACATCAGCATTAACTGTGATGATTTTCACTGCCTCCCTAAACTTATCATCATTTTTTTTTTAAATGGGCAGTTGAAAACACAATAGGATTTTAAGGAAGACCTTTAAAGACACAAATATTTAAGAAATGAAACCATTGGGAATGTTTACTTTCTCTTTAGATGCAGCCTTAACATCTACATTTTCTACTTAGCCACTGTTTTCTTGGGAGGACACCAACATGTTTGGACAACACCTGCAATGCGACAGATTCTGCTTACCTAGAAACACTGCAAGGGCCTCTCCCTAGGAGGTTCAGCACTGATGAGAGGTGCCTTTGTGCTTCCAGTTTTCATCAACTAACAATGAACTTCCTACTTCTGGATGTGGCCAAAGTGTTCCGCAAGGAAAGAATCTAATCTGTGGTTTCCTAATTCCTTTGGGATCATCAAGGTCAGAAGGAAACTGTCCTAAGATTCTAGGCTAAATTCAGTCCTTATTCTTCAACTGAATTAATTTTCCCATGCCCTGATGTTTCTGGAGTGGCTGTAGATTTATGAAAGTGAGGAAAGAAGGGAAAAAGAATAACAGTGTTTAAAAATAAAATTTGTTTCTCATGAAATGAATCCCACTTTATGGTGTGTATTTTAGTGAGAATTCTTTTGGGTAGCTTACCATTTGTCAAGCGATCAAACAAGAAAATGTCAAAGTCCCACATTCCCACTTTGGAGAGCATATGCTGAAAAGGCAAACAGAAAATAGCACCAAATGAATCACATCGAGACTCAAACATTTACTTCGAAACACAGTGAATTAAACAACTAAAAAGTTAGAAATAGCACATTACTCTCTATGTGCAACTGGCTTGGAGTAAATCAAATCTCACTTTACCCACTAATGACAACTCAAGGGACAAGCTGTGGAGTTAAAAACCACCTGGTTCAATGATAGCCATGTCTCTTTCTGGCTGTGGGTTGTGGGTCACATTTACTTAACTTCTCTGTGTCTCCCTTTCTGCATTTGAAAAATGTGGCAGATAATTCTCTTTCAGAGGGTTGTCATGAGGCTCAAGTACAGTCACACTGTGCTTGGAACACTGCTCATTCATAACGAATACCTGTGTTTGCGTGTAAAACTGAAGTTCAGCGAATTGTCTACATCACAAACACTATGAATTGAAGGTAAGAGGTTTACAACACAGTTTTTAAAAATGAAAGTATTTGCTGAGCACATTATTTCGCTCAATGTGGACTGAATGTGAAATTAACCATTGTGCAGGAAAGTTTGGGTAATTGAATGTATTGCATAATTTAAAGGCCTATTTCAATGCAGACTTATTCTATTTTTCTTTTTAAAAATAACACATGCTTGAAATTTCATGGTGATACAAAAACTGTTGATTCTGTCCTTAGTATAGTTCTGAAACTATACTCACCTCTCTTCACAGACCCCTGACTCATGTAAGGATCAACTCCCTGTCCTTTACCTGCCCCTGAATGGCTTCTCCAGTGTCCCACTGCAAAATCCAAATACCTCACAAAGCCACTAACACCTTTATGATGTATCATAAAATTGAAGGGATTTTTGAAGTCTAGATTGAGTGAACTTTATAAAAAAATCACATGATACCATAGGCAGACCTAGCACTTGACCTCTGATACCTGAATTTCTGGTTTACTATTCTTTCTACATCTCAGTGTCACCCTTTTTGAGATGTGGCTGTTCCTAGAATGGAATTCCCCAAGAGTACTCTGTCACTGATGCTCCAGTGCTGGGGTGCTTTGTCTAGCTTTCTCTTCAACCAACCAACTATCCAACCATTAACCAACCAAATAATTAACAACGAACTGACCCACAGACAAACACATACATACATACAGGTGTTCACTCAATTTCAGTCCATTTTTTTTTCTTTGTAGACCTAATATTGAGAATGGTGTTTCTGGTATTACTTGCTGCTCATTTTTCAATAATATATGTTAATCATTATTAATTCTTTCTTTTTTCTTTTTTTTTTTTTTTTGGTACTGGGGATTGAACCCAGGGGTGCTTCACCACTGAGTGACATTGTCAGCCCTTTTAAATATTTTATTTGCAAACAGGATCTCTTTGAGTTACTTAGGTCCTAAGTTGCTTAGGGTCTCTCTGAGTTGCTGAAGTTGGCTTTGAACTCATGATCGTCCCACCCCAGTCTCCAGAGCTGCTGGGATTACAGGCATGTGCCATCATGCTGGGCTAATAATATAGATTTCGTAAGAGTATATAGCTAATATAATAGAGCAAGTAAGGTATTTAAATTCCTTTGGCAATTTAGGCTTATTTTTGTTTCTGGATTGTCATTAGTTTTTACCTCAGTCAGATCAATGTAGAGCAAAAATAGTTAGTTATTAAAAATTATTTGAATGAACTAAAAACAATACAAGGGATAATGCACCAAGTTAATACCCTAATGTGGAATTGAGAGTGGTTAATTATTGAGATATTTTCAGTGTCATTATTACAAGAGATAATTAAATGGATTAGAAAATTTAGTAATTCCCTCATTAGTAATCTAGCAGTCCAAAATTCTACTTAGTGTTGTGTGAATATTTTTTTTTGCACATTTATAAGAATGAAAATAGCTAATGTGTCAAGCATGAGAATACTAAGCATATAAACATGTTTTACCTCGGGGCTAGGGGTGCAGCTCAGAGGTGAGGTATGTACTTAGCTCACATGAACACCACTAGAAAACAGCATGTTTTAACCCGCGATGCTGGCATTACTCCTAAGAGTTGAGGGTTCCTATTACTTTCATTTTATAATTGATGGGAAAGTCCAGATGTGTTGAGTAACTAACCTAGAGTCACAGAGCTCCTCTGAAGCAGAGGAGGACTTTCTCACCCCCAGGTACTATTAGCTGAGACAGAGGCTGTTGGCTCTGACCCACTGCAGGTAGTCAGAGGGGTAACCAGCTTACCCGTGCTTGTCCAAGGTAGTCTTCATCCAGCAGGTGGAGGGGGGCTTGTGGTATGATTCCACGAAGCAGCCTCGATGCATGGAAGTATCTTTGGAAACTTAACAGTCGTTTCACCTTTTTCTTGGTGCCAATTTCCCCTGAGTGTGTTGTATCTATGGAATCAAATGCAGAAGTTCATATATTTAAAAAAGAGCCTATTTTCTCCATTATGTAAAAATATAATGTACAAAAAATACTCAATACTTTGAGGGCTAAATTGAATTAAATATGATCTATTTAACTCTACATTTGAAATTCTAGATCATAAATAATATTTTATATGTATGGCATTTATTAAAATGTCAAGATGTTTCTGAATGTACTTTTGGAAAACATGAAATTCATGAATTAAAGACGTTTTTTGTTGTTGTTGATGCTGGTATGTTTAGTAAGTGAAATTCACATACTTCTGCATACATTTGAAATGGGAAGTTTTGCTTTTTCTTCCTGCTACATTGGAACTGAGGCTCAAAAATATAGATCAAGTTCTCACCCTATTCTCTCTCCAGTCTGATGAACCCCTTCACTTAAATTAGAAGAGCCATGAGAAAAATGTTTCTTAATGTCCCTGGAATATCTTTAGCACAGAAATCAATAATCTCAGAGCTAAAGTGATCTAAATGCCCCTTCAAGAAGCAAAGAGGATGCTTGCTTTTCTAATGGAGTGTATCCTCTTCTATTGGTCACTATAAATATCTGGCAGTAGAGATATTTTAATACTCTTGTCATGTGTACCTCTCCAAACTTGACTGTCAACATCATGACGATCGTCCAGAAAGGTGCCAGGCATGTAATTTGAATATCTGTCAAGATAGTTCTTACCTCAGCGGAAATTCTGAGTCACTCTAAGGCCACCTAAGTGACATCTACTGCCAATTTTGGATGTAGAGTCAATTTAACACTCTTGTAGGAAAATGTACAGCTCATATATAAGCTGATTTTGGTTTGTGTCATACCTTCTCCCATCTCCTCTTTTGCTCTATGGAACTCAAAATTATAACAAATGCCAGAAACAGAGGAAACGATGGCACTCCCTAATGGCAGTGAATGACCAACATTGATTCATTATGTAGGTTGTATCATGCATGCAAATACATGATTCAGAGATGGCAAGACCTACTCTTCTCAGGAACTGCTACCTGAATGAAATTAATTTTTATTTTAAAATGAATCTAGAGACCAAGAAAAGAGGCAGATATGTACACAAAGAAGTAAGTAGAGTACCACTGAAGTTGTGTTTAGGCACACATCAGTATTAAAAATGGTAGACATGGGCTTCATTCTGCGGGTGGCTTTTCACTCATTTCCATGAGTTTATTAAATCAAAGTACAGAATAAAGTGGTTTGTTCTTTTATTTAAAAAATTGAGTGCCTGTGTTCAGTGTGGATGGAGAGGAGAGAAAAGGGGAGAGTGAGAGATGAAGTCTTAGATCAAAGGAGAGCATGAAGATGATATATTTTATTAGCCTTTCTGTGGAGCCATGGCAAAGTTTTATGCAGAAAAGTGGTAAGAACAGTCTTATGTTTAAACAGGCCATCCTGGCTTCTGTATTGAGGACTGAGTTAAGAAAAAGGTTTGATGCAGAAAGATCTATTACTTGACATAATACAGGAGAAATGGCCGCTTGGACAATGGTGGTAGCAGTGGAGAGAAATGGAGTTCCTTGGGAGCCCAGTGAGGAAATACAACAAGGATCCAGGTGTGATCCTAAGTATCTAATGATGCTAGTTCATCAGGTATGATGAGGACTGAGAGCTGACCATGAATTATATACTTAAAAAGAGCATGTTTTATTGCATGCCTACAAGCAACAACTCTCTGGTAACAATAAGCACATCTACACCCAGATTTTGTTTTTTAAATATGATTTCTCACTAAGAGCGATCAGACTGCATTGGTAAAGTGGCCTTTTTTAGGACTGGAACAGCAAATGGACAAGGTGAACTGTAACATCTTGTTATACCAGAAAAAAAGGGATACCTTAAAAATGCCGCAATTATTTAAAAATAACAGAGGAAACAAATTTTAAGAGGCTCCTCTGAGCAAATATGGGAATATTAGAGTCACAAAATAAATAAGGAAGAACATGTTATAAATCATTGACTGAAATAAGAACTAACAAGTCCATAGAGATAGTAAGCAAGAAAGTGAATAAATAAGAAGGGAAAGCTCTTTTTTGCAAAGAGTGCCAACTGAAAAGTGTAGAAGAAATAATAGAGCTGGAAAATTGCCATTTTGCAGACATTATAGTAATAACTGAATCAGGCCAGAATCCTTAATGGCTACTAAAGTTATTAAGGGAAATTTAAAAAGCAGTAGGATAATTACATAATATCAAAGCATCTCCCTGCAATGACTTATTAATTAGAGAGGAAAAAATAGTCACTTTATAGTGGACAAATGTAGAAGGGGCACCAATCTTTACAAAGTATTCAACAGTCACCAATAATAGGAGAAAGTGACATTATGCACTTCCTGATGTGAAACACTAAAGAAACATCAAGGATAGAGTGTTCCTGCCCCAAATGTACATCTAACCCCAATAAAGAGGAAACATCAGAAAAACCAGGTTGAAGAAACTCTACAAAACAATTGGTTTGTACTCTTATAAAAATGTCAATGTCATGAAACATAATGATAGTGTCAGGTATTATTTCAGAATAATGGATAACAGATTATTTCAGAATAATGGATAATAGTGTACTAAATGTGATGTGTGATCCTGAATTGGAGCCTGGATCAGAGAAAAATGTTCATGAAAGACATTTTAGGATAAGTTGTGAAGTTTAAATATAGACTTATGCAAGAGATAATAATACCATATTTATATATTTCTTAAATGTGATAACTGAATGACACAGATGAATGTCCTTATTCTTTGAGAACTACAGGTTAAAATATTTAGAGGTAAGGGGGCATGATGTATAAAACGAATTCTCAAGTGATTAAGGAAAAAAATTTATAGCAGTAGGAAAATATTGTAAAATATAATAATTGGTGCATATGGAAAAATAGTATGTGACTTGTTCCATTCTTGAAAATTTTCTACAAATTAAAAATTATGTTTAAAACAACATCAAGTACAGTCAACTACTATAAGGAGTTTTACTGAGCTGGAGAATAAGAAATGGGATGATAGTTTCATATAAAAGGAAATCCATTCTTTCAATAAATAAATGAAAACAATTATTCCTATGTTATATATATATATATACACACACACACATACACACATACACTTGGAAATGAACCCACAGGCACTCAACCACTGAGCCACATCCCCAGCCCTTTTAATTTTATTTAGAGACAGGGTCTCACTGAGTTGCCTAGAGCCTCACTAAATTGCTGAGGCTGGCTTTGAACTCTTGATCCTCCTGCCTCATCCTCCTGAGCACTGAGATTATAGGCATGTGCTACCACACCCAGCTCCAATATATTTTTTCTTGACAATTATTCAGAAGTGAAGTGAAATAGCCATTGGTAAAGATAATAACATGTTCTTTTCCTATTTGGGGGTCATGCATAAAACTAAATGAAAAAAAATCCTCAAGGTAACTCCCTAAAGGGGGAAAAAAAACATGAAATAATGCCAGAAAAACTATGGTCATTTAAATCAGTATTAATTTTTACTAATCACTCAACTGTCATTTGAGAAGCATTTTTGTGCTGTGTGAGATAATAAAAACAAAGAATAAGAAACTGAAAATGTAGCTGAGAGGAAAAAAAAATCCATAAAGAAAGTATCTGAAAGCAGATCACCATTCTGTATAACAGTACTAGGTACTACTCTTTTAAGTATTGAAATGTGTCATCAATCATTGTGTAAGTTCTGACATCTTTGTTTCTGAAAGGACTTTCTGTGCATAGCTAGCATATGTACTTTAGTAATTAGGAGTATGATCATATGCATTGCTGGATTAAAAATTTAAATTATTAGTTAAGTCTTACAGATGGCTCAGCTAAATTCAGCTCAGGAAAATCTATGGCATCTTAGTAATGTATCTAGTAGTGAAAGTGAGATTTATATGATAAAAAATCATTATTAGCCAGGCTCAGTGGCAAATGCCTGCAATCCCAGAAGCTTGGGAGGCTGAGGCAGGAGGATCGTGGGTTCAAAGCCAGCCTCAGCAAGAGCGAAGTACTAAGCAACTCAGTGAGACCCTGTCTCTAAATAAAATATAAAATAGGGCTGGGGATGTGGCTCAGTGGTTGAGTGCCCCTGAGTTCAATCCCCAGTACCAAAAAAAAAAAAAAAAAAAAAAAAAAAAAAAATCATTACTTAGAGGCATTCATCTTTGTTTGGATTTATTGTTTCATGGTCTCCAAATTCTCATTTGGAATAGTTACACAAAGGTGCTCTAGAATGTTCCATTGCCTCATCTATGTAAACATTGACCCTAACTGTGAAATTCATTTTCTGTCCACTTGTTCCTTTATGAATATTACAAATATGTATATATTAACACATTTTTGCACTACTCTGGTACTAATTTTAGGGTTATGAAGTTTGTATTGGCTCTGCCAGTATGGTAATTTTTAAAATTTACAAGTTGGAGTTGGCTTAAGTGCAAAATAGGTTCATAAAAATTTTTTGAGTACCTTCTCTATGGCATATTCTCTTTATAGGGGATAATAAATGTTAGTGCTAGGAGAAACTTTGAACCTAGTATAAATACCTGAGATTTTTTTTTAAAAAGCTATAAGTATGCCTATATGATGAGGTCCTTTCTGTCAATTGTGTACCTGATTCCTTGAATAAGATCAATATCAACTATTGCCAAAGTAGAGTAGCTAGTAATTAGTGCAGAAGTCTCTCAGGTGATACTAAAGACAAAGAAAGCTTTATGTTTAAGTGAAGAGGACTGGCCTCAAGTAAATATGGAACTCCAATTACATCAACTTAATATCAGCACTTTTGAACATTAACCCAACCAAAACTACTAAATAGTGTACTAACAAATGCCCTATTCTGCTAATTATTGTATTAATAATTATTGAAATTCTTTACTGGGCTAGTGGATATTCATAGCCTTTTAAAATTCTTTTCTTACATAATTTTTAATATGTCATCTTGTACCATTGAGTTATTGGTATTAATGACTATTACACTCA